GGGTCCTGTTTCGATCCCCCTGCTGACTATCCCCTGTCCCCTGTTCCCAGCTGATGCTCTGCGGCATGCAGGAGATCGACATGAACGACTGGCAGAAGAATACCATCTACCGGCACTATACCAAGAACAGCAAACAGATCCAGTGGTTCTGGCAGGTCAGTCCTAGCGCCGGCAGCACCTCCGACTCACTCCCCAGCCCTGGGATCGTCCCCTGCCTGAGGCCTGGGGCAGGCAGGGCTGGCCTGGAGCAGGCAGCCTCGCAGGCTGTCAGGAAGAACGAAATACAACCACGAGCACATGTGCAGCAAGCAGCATGTGGCCACGGCTGGCAGAGGCCCCAGCGCCGCCAGCGAGGACAGCAGGCAGCACTTAGTGGTCAGCATGCTTCTAGCAATAGCTGCTGCTCTTGGGCAGGACGATGGAAGGGGGGGATGTTAGCAGAGCTGCTCCGTGCTGGCCAGGAGAGAAGGGGGTCCAGGAGGGCAAGGCTGGGCAGAGCTGCTCCCCGCAGAGCCCTTGGGATGCGCTCCTCCCCGAGGATGCAGGACTAGAGGCGAGGGCTGGACCACGTGCCTGGTGTGCTGCACCGCGCCGGATTGTGTCCAAACCTGTCCGGGCTGTGGGCTTGGGGGTGATGGGGATCCCACTCTCCTGCTGTGTTCTTGTCGTAGGTCGTTAAAGAGATGGACAATGAGAAGAGGATCCGGCTGTTGCAGTTTGTGACGGGGACCTGCCGCCTGCCCGTCGGAGGGTTTGCAGAGCTCATCGGTGCGTGTTCCCAGGCGCTCGGCTTGGGTGGGGGGTCCCAGGGAGGTGAGCGGGGGCAGTGGCCGTGCGCGGGGGCTGGCAGGTGGGACCTGGCTGTCCATGTCTCCATCACAGAGTGCAAGGCAGCCCGCAGCACATGAGCAGTGAAGCAGCTGTGACGCCTGAGCACGGTGATTTAATCCGGTGGCGTGCCATACCCAGACAAATTCTTTAGCCATGAACTGTGCCGCCACAGTTCACTTTGTCAGTCCAGCTTGTAGTCCCATTTTGAATGAGATTGGATTTTTGATGTAATTTTGATTCTTTTGTGAGACAAACCCCCTTTTCCAGAAAACCACAGTGTGGCATTATTCTGCTCTCATCGTTTAATTTGCTACTTTTTGGGGCCTGTACCAGCCTTTCCCTTACTTTCCTGGAATTGGTGTCAAGCTAACCAGCTAACTTAGGCCACTCGTTTATTCTTGCTGGCATATTAGCCTTTTTTCCAGCCTCCTGGAACCTCTCCAGCACTCACAATCTGTTAAAAAGTGACCTCAGTGACAGACTTTCTGAGCCAGGTCCTTTAAAACTCTTGGATGGGCTCGCTCAATCCTGCGGGTCTACGGATAAATAACGTTTTAGCACTTGCTATTTAACCATCCTGCTTAGAAGCCATGCTATTATCTCTCCATGACCTGTGAATAGGCTTTTCAGCTTTCTCCTTTCTTGTTTTTTGCACATCCTCTCTGCAAGGGGGTCAGAACAGGCAGCGATTGCTGGTATGGATTTATGCCCCGATGTGTCTGTAGGATCATAAGGGCGTGTGACGGTGCGATCTGCTGGCTAGCGGTGTGTTGGAGGGTTTTCTTTTTCAGCTCCTGGTGATGTAATGAGATTTGCTGTGCTCATAATTAACAGGCAGCAACGGGCCCCAGAAATTCTGCATCGATAAAGTTGGCAAAGAGACGTGGCTGCCTCGGAGCCATACATGGTAAGTCGTTTCTCCTTGTCCCTGTTAGGAGCATGTGGGGACAGCCGCAAGCAGCCTCAGCAGGGCTGCACGGGGCCCCGGGCGCCCTCCATCCCCTCCACCGTATTCCCATGGGATGTAACTCCCGTTCTGGCCGTGCATCTTGCCACAGCCTCTGTGCACGGCTGAGGCCAGAGGGGACCCCGCAGCGGGGAGGAGAATTGGGATCGCGGCACTATTCACAGCCTCTGCTGTCTCTCCAGCTTCAACCGTCTGGATCTCCCTCCCTACAAGAGCTATGAACAGCTGAAGGAGAAGCTGCTTTATGCGATTGAGGAGACGGAAGGATTTGGACAGGAGTGACGGAGCTTTGGTGCTTTCCCGGAGCGGGGAGGGCCCTGGAGCGCTGCCGGCTGCGAGGTCCTGCCTGCCGGCGCCCGCGGAGCCCAGCGCCGAGCCCTCTCTGCGGGATGGTGCGCGGGCAGCTGCGGACGCTGTTGCTCTTGTTCCCGTGTGAGATCTGCACTAACGCAGCCCTGGGGGAAACGGGTCTGCGTTTCCTTCCCCAGACAAAATTTGAGGTGTGGCGGGGAGGTGGATGCAAAAGCCTGGCTCCGCTCAGCTCGTGAGGGGCGCGGGCTGGCGCAGAGGGGACGGGGCGAAGCCCTGGGCTTTGGCAAGCAGCGCGCGGTGCACTGAGGCTCCCCGGTCCCCCCTCGCAGACACAGTTAAACGAGATCTGGTTTCGGCACAGGCTATTTTTCCCCCTAGTGTTTTTTGCCTTTTCGTGGCATTTTAATACATGCAGGTGAGGAGGGGAAAGGAAACGGCTCTTGAACCAACTCTCAGGTCATATTTGGGCCCTATCCTGCACCCAGCAAAGGTAACGGGGAACCCCTGGTCGCTGCTGCGGCCGATGCATCGCACGAGGGCCAGGACGGCCCCTTCCTGCGCCAGACCCGTGGCCACCCAGACACAGGGCTTGGCCGACCATGTCTGTTGCGTGTTTTGATTTGCAAGCGTGTGGCCCCTGTGCAGGTATATTTAATAGTTAAGTGGTGTGTTGCTCAGAGCTGGTGCTGCACAGCAGCCCCAGGGGCTCCGGTCACGTTCCTGGTACATCTGGCCTTTGCTTGGTTCGTGGATTTGGCCCAAACTCCCTGTGTTTCCTCTGTTGCTGGCCGGGCTGGTGGCAGGAGCTCCTGGAGCTGCAGGGGAGGGCAGGATCAGGCCTCTGCCCCTTGCCTGGATGCCACCTCCGCTACTGTCCCTGCTCCGCCTGCCCCTGGTGTGCACGGGGGAGACGGACCCATACGAGGGTTGGTATACATAGCTGTACATAAAGGAAGTCTATGGATACAAGACACTGCAATAGCTTTTGACTGGTAACCAGATAGTTTTGTACTGCACCATCCTGCCTCAGCGATGCCGACTTCTTGTGCAATAAACAATAAGCAGCTGCCGAGGTCTGTGTCCCTGGTCGGTGTGTCGCACGGGGGGACAGCCTGGTGCAAGGCCTGGGGCATCTTGGCGGGGACTTGGCCAAAGGGCTGTGGTGGGTGCCCAGAGCTCGTTAGCGGGATCATAAGTAATATGTATTTTTTTCCATTTACACACTGCGCAGGAGGGTCAATGCCTGCCTTCACCCAACCTATAATCACGTTTGGCTAAAAATGTCTCCAGGATGCTTTGTCAGAGCAGGAGCTGCCTCCCTGTGCCACTGTGTGAAACCAGAGCGGTATTGGTGGAACAAAATCAGGTGCATGAGGCCAATGGCCACAGGCTGGTGGTGTTTAGTAAAACAAAATCCAACAAAAGCGGAACTAAACCAACCCACTAGTCACATCACTGGGGGACAGCCTGCATCCAGTAATTTTGCTGTGACTTTGCTTTTCAGCAGCTGCCTTGGCTGGTTGGTTCTTTGTGTGGGTTTGGGTTTTGTTGTTTGGTATTCTTGGTTTTTTTCTTTTTTAATAGTCTGTACTTGCACTGTGCTGTGGGAGACCCTTGCCAAGCATGGCACAGCCGGTGCCAGCCCAATTGCAGAAGAAATGCTTCAATCTTTGTGGGCACCATCATGCTGATGCAGCGCTTGTGCCTACCTGAAGCCCTGGGTGCTGCTCATGCCCTGGTCTGGGAGGTGACAGGGGCACTGGTGGCATCTTATGCCTGGGAAAGGCATGTCTCCCTCTGCCCCATCTCCTAGGAGATGCTGCAGCACATGTTCATCTTGCCCTTTGGCCCAGAAGGACAGAGCACAGTGTCTGTGCAGCGCTGACAGCCCAGGTGCCTCCCCAGGTGGGCAGCAAAGCTGGTTCCTTCGCTGGCACAGAGCTGTGGAAGCTGTAACAGCAGCGACGTGCTACCTGCATGACAGACGGGACAAGGTGCCTAGGGCCCGTGCAGATAGGAAGCAGATTAAATACACAGATAGCTATGTTGCATGAAATTAGCTAATTGTAATGAATTAGTCCAGAAAACTGCAAATACATATGCATACCACAAGCCTGATATGGTAATGGCCCTGACAGCTTATGGGAGGAAAGGAAGATGTTCTTCACAGCATGGTAGCACCACACACAACCTCCCCTCATCACCAGAGCAGGATCCCAGCTTCTCTCCCCCACTGTGTTTCCATCCCTGCAGAGCATCACATGAGCCAGGAGTATAGTTTTTTACTTTTTTTTTTTTTTTTTAAATGTCAGGTAACAAAACAGCCAACCCCAATCTTGTCCCTGGCCAGCTACAAAGGATAGCAAAGAAAAAAAAAAAATTGTACTAGCCCAGCACAAGGTATAGCTGGAAGAAAACAGCCAGCAGTAGCAACAGCCTCTTTGCTAGTCACTCCATGGTGCTTCCAGAACTTGGCACCTCCTCCTCACCTCAAAAATGAATTGATGCCAACAACTCAGGTCTCACACAGTAGTGAAAACTCAGTGACAGGTAAGACAAGTACCTTGAATGAAGGCTAACACAGTATGTGGCAGAAATCCTCAGCTGTTGGACTAAAAAAGTCCTTAAAGGCACACTGGAGGAAGGAAGAGTGGTGTGCTTAAAAAAAAAAAAAAAAATTTTCCTCCTGGCTTTTACCCTTTCCCTGTCCAGTGCTGAGACCCAAACCACCAGCCCTGCCCTACAGTAACTGCCTGCTCATTGCAACAGCTGCCAGTCTGAAAAGATCTATCCAGCCACATTACCATGAACACAAAAAGCAGATACCAAAGTAGAAAAATGCAGGGCCGTGACCATTTCAACAAGATAAAAGAACCCAGCCTCAAAGTGATTTAGTTTACAAGATTTTTAATTTACAAATAAAAAAACTACACATTTTACTTTTTCTCCTTTTTCTCCTCTTTCTTGACATCACTCTTTTCCTTGTCTTTCTCCTTCTCATCTTTTCTCTCCTTTTTACTTTCTTCTTTTTCCTGTCCTTCTTTCTTCTCTGCATCCCTGTTGGCAATCTTGTTGTTAATGAGGTTGTGCAGGGCAACCACGGAACGGATAAGAGAAGCCAGATAAACCACCACCATCTGGTCATTGGTCTTCAGATAAAAGGCCTTGACGAACTCTTGCAGATTGACGTCTGGTAACAGGTTGAAGACATCCTGAAGGTGGTAGATGATCTGGTGATTGATGGGGAGTTTGCCCATGGCTACTTTCTCTAGGTAGCTCCTGATGTCCAGAAGCTTGGAGTTCAGTCCCTTCAAGCCATGGACCTGATTCGTGATCCGCTGGGACAGAGTGCCCACCGTTGTATCCTTGATATCTCTGAAACACCCACAACAGAAAGAATCAGCATTGGAATGTTACTTTGCATTCTCATTAACAGCTGGGCATATTTGCTTAAGAGATCTTTCCAGCTTATAAAGAAAAGCAGTCTGAAGCACAGCTGGAATACAACTGAAATGAATGCTTCAAGTCAAGGAATGAGAATGAACCGATGTACGTTACAAAGTATATCTAAAATAGATCATTGTTGTATCCTGTGGTGCGCATACGTTCTCTTTGGAATAATATCTGTAACACCAGTTAGAGGGATAGAGAGAAATAAACAACAGGATTTCAGACTGGTGAAAAGGCAATGTGGTTTGTATAGGGCAACTGCTCTCTTTTTTCTGACTGGAGAGCTACAGATCCATCAGCAACATTCCCATTCAGTCCTGCTGTGAGGTACACAGCAGCTGGAGACGGTTCCAAACGATGCTATATTCCGCAGCTTTGATAGAATGAATATGTAGTTTTCATCATCTCATCAGTGGGCAGTCACACTTTTCACTAGCAATGAGTGAATATGCCAAGCAACACTGCTAAATGAATACGCTCCTAGAATTTAAGTAGAGTGTTTAACGAGATCCGCATTTCCTCCAGGAAGCTGGCACTGGGAGATGCCAGATGGATCGCGTTCGCTGCTATGCACGTCTCGTAAGAATGCTTTCACGTTAAAGATGCTTACCGTAGCAAGTGTTCAACACCCACTTCCTCTGCCTCCTCTGCTCCAATCTCGCTAGTCACATGTTCAAATGTCTTGGAGGTTGGAGTGCCATCCTTCGAGGTGCAAGGATACAGGAGACATGGTCAGACTGAGCACAGAGCTGACTGCAGGTACAAAGGGGCACGCTAACTAGCCAGTACGGATGTCTCACATGCCAACAGTGGGGCAACTAGCACCATGTCGCAGTGTTAAGATTAACTGATGCCTGTTTCCAGGACCAGGAAGAGGCAATGGGGCAAATTATGGCAAAACAGAGTATCGGGGGACTGAAGTACAGAGATAAGGGGAGAAGTTTGTAAGTAAAACACAATGCCTTTTAAAACCACAGAATTTTAGACAGAGTATGAGAGGCTGTATTAATGAAACAAGCAAAATAGTTATATACAGTCCAAAAGAAATCAAGAGAGGAAAGGCTCTAGTTGGATTTTTCTTGATTTAATTAGTGTTACCAACTGTCACAAGCCCAGAGTTGCTAGCAATTTCTTCTTTCTCGCCCTCTGTGTAATTTTCAATTACTGTATTTTGCTGGTCTAGGTACTGGTGGGTAAAACAGAGAGTCTCACTAAATATCATAATTATTTCTTTTGCAATACAACCTTATTACATTTTGGGATACCTTTGGCCATCCTGATATTTGCTCTCAGCCAGTTTGAAGCATGTATGCAGTTCCAGATAAAAAAAAATACTAATATGCAGCAATCACATTAAAATTTTAACTTATACACTGGATATTAAGGAAGATGTTTAAAAGATTCACAGGCTAAATTTCTAGGAATAAGTTTTACCCATGTGTTTTGAAAACCATTACCTGGACCATTATACATCTGTAAATAGAAAGCACCACCGGGACTATTGTGAATTCACAAAACTAAGAACAAATCCTACAGCTATAAGATCTACAATACTGGGAGCAGCTTTTTCTCCATAGTGAGGGCCTCAGAAAGGCAAAAGGATCAAACTTTTTTATATACACCCAGAATGTAATTTAAATCAAACAATTGCAAATGAAAAGCTAAAGCTGACTTACTACCGTATGTCGTTTGTCTGCATGGTGCTGCAAGTGATTAGTATGTGTTGCTATGCCTGACCTACCTACTCAGCATCAGCAGGTGCACAAGTGAATAAGCATGCAATTACTCAGAACACCTCTGCAGACAGGCTCACATGTAAAAGTGACACCTTAGAAGTGCTCCAATCTGTGCCTTTCTTCATTGCCACGGACAGCTAAGAAGCAGGTAAGAAGCATCTAAATCATAGGGACAGCTGGAGCTGTGGAATTCCTTAGGTCAAACAGTAACGCACAGCTTTTCTTCCAAGGGCATTGGTGGATGAAAGCTTTGGTTACAAATGCTCACACTACAACTGGGATTTAACCTCTGGTTTCAGCAGATTTTGGCTGCAAGTCACAGGCCCTCACTAGTGAGTGCAACATCCCATATGTAAAAGGCAACTATGTGCCATGGGATATGCAGCCTTCAGAAAATAAGGCAATCCAAACAGCCATCCTTTAATGGAAACCCTTTTACTAGGAAAAGGCAGAAAGACATGTTAAATAGTACTCACATCGTGAACTTCTTCAACCGAAATATAAGCTTCTGTGGGCAGCCCCAGGTCCTTTGGCTTCACATCGATAATCACCAACACCTTATGGAAAAAGCAAACATTTCAGAAAACCAGGTTTCGTTCAAAGACTAGAAAAAAATACCTAAGTCAGGTCTTCACTTCGCAGCAATGTATGCTAGCTGCTCAGAGGTGTTAACTTTAGGCACTGCGAAAACACTTCTATAGCTGCTTCAAACGACTCAGATCTGAGTTCCTCAATCATTGTACAGCTACCAGGTCTTTAACATGCTGTATCACCAGTAACAAAGGTGGGGCCAAGGATTCCCAGATCCCCCATTTAGTAAGAGAGAGGGAAAAAAACCCCAAAACTGAAAAAGTGCCGCACTTACAGAGTTAGGACAGTATCTTTTCATCAGTTCATTGATGGCGATGTCATTCTTGTGCAGTTTAGGGCCTGTGTGGTACCAACCAACTATTCTTTCTCTAGCTGAGCAAAACCAGAGAGGATTCTAAATCAGAATCGCATGGTAAGACAACAGCAGAAAGATTTAGGCAGAGATTGAATTAGCAAATCAAGGGTGAAAATCTAATGCGTGTAGAAGACGAGTGTAAAGTAGGGGGAAATGAACTACAGTAGGCAAGACAATGATGTGGCTAGTGACAAAGACAGCTTACTAATCGTACTTACTTATTGTAGCTTACTAATCACATATATCACTTTACTCCTAGGTTCTTAACTAAACTAGACTATTGAATATAATTTCTTATTCTGCAGATATCAGTATTTGACAGCCTGAAACTCTGACATCTAGAGATGCAAAAATTCCAGAAATGCAAACTGTATCATGAGAATGAAAATTGGTCCCAGGGCTAAGAAAATTCATAGGAATTGAAGTTATGACTCAACATTCAGCTCTAAAATCTCAAACTGAGCAGTAAAGACAGTTCTTTGAAGTGGTGAAGAGCAATTAGAATCGTTACTTACAAAATGTGAGTTTGTAATGTTCAGATTCATAAAAAACTAATTTCAGGGCACATCGGTATAGAATGGGTTATAGAGGAGAAAGCTTTGAAATTCTTCAGAAATAATGGCATTTTTGAAATCTGAATTATTGTGGAGATACAAAGCTGTCAGGAGACTTCAGAAAACTAGCCAGGTATAAATTAATGTGTTAAGAACACAAAACTACTTGCACAAATTAACTCACAGAAAACCATCAGTGAAAGTGAAACCATGCAAGCAATTAGCATGGAGTGGCTTCTTATGTGAGCAATTAACTCTCTACCTTACTATGAATTCACTTCCTCATAGTCTTGAAAGTTTCTAGGAGCATACCCCTGACTGCAAGGAGATCTCAACTTACCGTTGACCTTCTTAAACATTCCATACATGTTCTCCAGATAGTCATGGTCTAGAAACCACACAGTATCATCCTTGTCATCCTCATCAAAAGGTACTGGGAATAAAACAAAATATCAATATTTAAGAATCCAACTTCCAGAATGAAAACGTTTATAGAGACACTGTGTTTTAGGCTGTCTTTGGCTGCTAAAGACAAGTGGATTTTAATCAGTTTCAACTGTTCTGCAACACTACGCTGCACAACCTAACCAGCAGTGCTGGTCAATTATCTCAGGTAGAAGCTGTCTCATAATTACTAACAGTTTAAAACTGAGGAATGAAATGCAAAACATTCTGAGGGTTATCCTCAGTGGACAACATCAAGCATTAGAGAGAAATCCTCTCACATACAAAAGTGACTCAATAGCATGCATAGACATTTGATATGATAAACTGAGTATCCCAGCAGACTTTATAGCTTGTTGATCAACAACAGTCTACTTCAAGAAAAAATAGTTTTCAGTGTAGAACACGTCATCAGCACTTTTATAGGCTACCAGAACACCATGAGGCGCTTTAAGTAAGGTATAGTAAAAGCTTCATAGTTGAAAGCTGTCAAAACAATTAAAAAAAAAAATCAAATGGAAAAAAGTTATTCCAAAAACTGGAAAAAAAAAAAAAAGAAGTCCACACCTGGGAGAAGAACCCCATATAAACTGTGAAACTCCATATATAAACTAGATAATTTTGCTTTGTCACAGAGTAGCCCCACGGGGAAGGAAATGATCTAACTAACACAAATGGGTCAGCAAAAGCCATGCATTCAAGAAGTACCTTTACTATCACATGTAAGTATTTAAGAAGAAACTACGTCAACACTATTAACATACTTAAGGAAAGAACTAGTATTTAATCGGACAAGATCTGAGGAAAAGAAGTAAAGCTAAATTATACATTAAATCTTTACACAAGTAGGTAACAGCTACATCAGCACTGAGAGCTGTGATTTCTGTATGACATGTTGAGACACTGATCACTCAGCAGAGGTTAGCAAGTCCAATGCAGCAAAATATTCACCAGCATTTTAAAAGAGGTTCGCATCCACTCCCAAAACATTCCACATTGCACAATATTACAGGGAAGATGCAGCACAAGACTGGCTGGAATAGGTGTATTTCTGACAGCAGTTAGCATTTTTTTTAGATATAGCCTGATTTGTACATGGAGGGACCAATCTGTACTCTGGCAGGGTGGCTTAAAAAAAACCCAAATGCGATTCATCTATTAAATAATTCAGTAGGTTTGAACAAGGGTAGGACACCCAAACTCACCTGCAAAACTGTTGGACACATCTAGTATTTTTTTCTGCCACGAGCCCAGCAGCACACCAACGACGCGTTTCTGATTTCCAACTTTTCCTATTCTAAATGGAAAAGACTGTCAGTTCCTATGACAAAAAGCCTGCTTCAGAAAAGAAGGTTAACAGCGGACCACTCACTTCGCCTAATTTCTGCAAGTTAAACAGTATGCAGGTTGGAACGGAAGAAGAGCCGTTATGATCATTTTATTACCGATTGTTAATTTACATCCAGAAAAAGGCGTTTTGGTGTCCTCAGAATCAAACCATGTAACCCAGCGATGCAGAAAGAGGACTATGCGGTCCAAAGCAGCTAACAAGGGGGAACGTGACCCAAAATAAGCACTGCTGCAGCCTCTCCGCAGGACAATGGGCTATAAAAAAGTGAGTAAGCTCTTAGACTGCTCGGTGTCATCTGCAATTTCGCTTTCACAATAGCAGGCTTGTTCGCCTTGCGAGATTTTGGTTTTTATTTTTGACATGAAAACCTCGCGTCAATTGGCACAATTAAGTTAAACGAGGCACGAACCACACTAGGTGTTTACGGGGGTATGATTTATCCCCCGCTCACCCAGCTGCAGCTTCAGGAACGGCCCCCACCGCTCCCCCACTCGTGTTTTAAGGAGCGGGACGTTGTTTCCGAGCCCTCGGCGGGCCCGAGGACGGGCGCTGACGGCCCCCTCACGGCACCCCACCTCCGCCTTTTCTCCTTCCGAAGGCGAAAACAACGGCGGCGGCGGCGGGCCGGGGGCTCCGGGGGCTCCCGCAGGCCGCGCTCCCGCCTCCAGACGGGGATCGCGGCCCCCGGCGACCGGCCCGGGCCCAGCCGCGCCGCTCCCCTCACGGCGCGGGGTCCCCTCCGCCCCGCTCTGCGCGTCCCGGGGCCCGGCCGCGCCGCTCCCCTCACAGCCCGGCT